ACCTGAGTGTAGAATGTGGCGGACGAGTGATGGGCTTGTAGAATGAAATCGGTTCCCCATTTGATGGAAGACCGGAGATAACCGAGCTGGTTAACCGATGAAATCTCATTCCGGTATTCGATTCCTGCCCAACTCAGCAAGGTTATGGTAAACGACATCGGCCACACGAATTTTACGTTGTCGCCTGCATCATAGTACCCTCCCACCAAATTCACCTGAATTCAGGAGTTCATGTTTAACAATTCTAACGTTTATACCCAAAAAAAAAAACAATTCTAACGTATGTTTGAGAATGCAATCGTTTTCTTAAAATAAAAAATTAAGTATATATATAATTGTAATGCAGAAGTGGGTAATCCGAATGAATTATGCATCGTATACGTACTTATATATACACATACCAAAAAAGGACATCAAATATACGTTTTTTGCGGATGTAATGTTTATATAATATAGGGAGACTCAGAAAATTTGATTATTGAGGTAAAAAAAATACAAATTCTTATAGTCATTTATTTTTAAAAATTTACAAATTCTATTTTTTTTATTTAATGGATGGGGCATGGGATCCCATCCACTTCTATGTAGATCCACCCATATATATATATATATGTATGGTATATATATAGATATGTATGTAAAGAGATGTTTTACATGATCCGGTTCACCATCGGTAAGGGCAGAATCGGCTCGCCACTTAACCCTTTGGTTAACCGGGAGTTTACCGGACCGTTGTCCTTCAAAGAACAATAAGGATTTGGTTAGGGCATCTCCATAGTCAAGAGCTTGCATGCTTTTGCAAGCCATGAAAATACCAACTAACATTATCACAAAAACCTTCCCCATCATGTGTATATATGTAAATCTCTTTTTTTTTTTTTTGTAAATCTATTAGTATTTTGCATGAGATGTGTTGGGGGGTATTTATTGAGATCTCATGCACGTAAGGTTGCGTACGTAAGTTCGTTTCGGGTTTTTTTCCACGTAAATTTAGGGTAATTTGGCGGAATTATTTGGACTTTAGGCAACTTAAGTTTCGATAATTACGGAATAAAAAACTCCGGCAAGAAAATATTATTATACGTACCAGTGATTTGTATCCATATATGTATATATACTCAACCAAATATAATTTTGATATGATTTTTGCATTGGTGATGATTTTGGGGTTTTAGAGAACTATACGAAAAGGCACCTCCCATAGTTTTATTTTTTTATTTACTTAAATTATTTCATAATTCTTTTGTTCAATATTTTAATTCTAAGTAGTTTTATATTTTTCAAAATATAAACAATAAAAAAATTTCCTCAAATTGCTTACCTTCTTAAATGTTCTTTATAGTTGGACGATGGTTTCAGACATTGTTATTAAGTAAACAAACAAAAAATAGACCCTCCATTTTTTTTTTTGGTGTGAAGGTATAAAAAAAGGACCCTAATTAGTGTTTTCCCAAACTTAATTTTTGAGAATTATTTCGACTATCCAATAAAAGGATTTACAATATTGATTTTGAAATTTGTATACTTTGTTATAACTAGTTTTGAGTTGCAATAACGTATGTGGTATCAGGATTTGTTTTTTGATAATCTGAAAGTTTATCGTGTTTTTGATTTGATTACATCTCAAAGAACACTGGTGAAATTCATGTGAATGCTCATTCCCAAGTGAGAACTCGAACCCGGGTTGGGAACGACCTTTGCTACTTTTTTTACCGGTTGAGCCACTAAATCTTGGTTCTATGATATCATGGGTTAATAGTACATGTCCTATACAATCATGTTTAATTAGTAATGCAGTGGTTATCTGATAAGAGTTTATAACAAAAATGGTCCATGACAATTGAAAAAATTTCGTACCATTATTAATATGCAATGGTGTTTTAAACTTTGGTAAAAGGGTATCAGCTCTTGCAAAAGCCACTGTCCTGCCATGGTTGGACCGACACCTTGCAACGGTAAAAACATAACATTATAATAGAAAAACAATTAATAGAATTTATATACAATATAGCTTCGAGATCTATGAGAATATGAAATTTTTTATAGCGGAATCTGTAAACTTAGCGACGTTATAGGTTATGTATCGAAGACCATCCCGTGTGCGAGCCAGGGATACATGCGTATGTAAAATCATCTTAGTTATACTGAATCGATACATTTCAAGTTGTGGTTTATTCAACTGATATATGTGTGTGTATGTATATATACATATATGTGTAACACTCATGCAATTGGATTTCTCATATTCAAAATAAAATAAGTGTCATTTTACAACATAAACGAACAACGAAAACGACCGCTTGCTTGTGTTCACATCCAAAGGCAAATGCAAAACATATATATATATATATATATATATATATATATATATATATATATTATCCTTCAGAGAAATGGAGACAGAGGGAGATGGAGATGCCGTGGCGTAAATGAAGGTGGGGGATAGAAAACACTTTCTTCTTATCACGATTTTGTATAGTATTAAGCACCCATTCCTCTAACGTATTCCGATCTGGTGTGATGAACTGACATATATTATCCTTCAGAGAAATGGAGACAGAGGGAGATGGAGATGCCGTGGCGTAAATGAAGGTGGGGGATAGAAAACACTTTCTTCTTATCACGATTTTGTATAGTATTAAGCACCCATTCCTCTAACGTCAATTTTAGATCCGCTGTTAGGTATTTCAGTTATAATTTCAAATTTTTATTACTTTTTTTTCTTTTATTGCAATGTCTTCCGTCCAAATCCATACAACAGCTACAAGCAGTTCATCTCATACGCCTAAAATTGAAGTGTTCAACCGATAAAGAAGGGAACAAAAGTTCTTTCCAACTCGGATTCAAGTCTTCATTTGGAGAGGGGCATTCACATGAGCTTCTTCAATCCTAGTGGAGATGTAATCGGGGCAAAGACTCAATGACTTTCAGATTATATAAAAAAAAAGTAATTCTCACACAATCTAGTATTGTGTTTTATTTTTTGTCTCTCACAATTTGTATTTGTCACGTTTTTAATTTTCTCTGTTCCATGCTTTTCTTTTGGCGAAAGTTTCTATTCCATGCTTGTTTACGTGTTTATGCGCATATACCCTTTTAGATACATTCCCATGAAGGGATCTGGATTTATAGGACCAAAATTACGTGTCTCCCTTATCACTAAAATTATTTATATATAATTAATGAAAATTGATATCAATGTCATGTGCAGTTCCAAAGAAACCAAACTGTTTTTTTTTAATTAAAAAAAATTCTATCGTATTAGTATTGTTTGGATGATAAATATTTTTAGATCAACCCATAAACATACGTATATATTATACATCTATTACTTCGTGTTCGTGGAAATTACGATTAAGGCATGGAATTTTTTTTTTTTTTTTGGTGAACGGGCCGGAGTAATATTTTAAACATATTGTAGGCAATAATTTAATATCGGACCATTTTATTAGACAATTTTATTAAGTACAAAAAATACGAGTCAACTCATTCTGCAGAAATCGAAGAGGGTTCGGATTAATTTCGGAATGGTACAAGATCCATGTCTATATATACTATCTGCATTTAAAAATCAGGAGATGCATGCACGTGATATCATTAAAGATTGGCCTAACGCAACTACGTGCACGTTTGCCTCTACCGACTTTGAATTATAATCACCCCCCCCCCCCCCCCCCC